ATTGATTCATAAACAATTTAGATCATTAAACTTACATTCATGAAACATGTAATAATCATTTCTGAAACCATTTTCCCAAATTTCCAATTTCAATTCTGTTTCATTAAATTGAACATTCTTATAAAATACTTCATCCAACGAATAATCATATTGTTCATTGAATTGATCATTTAAATATCGATTGATGAAGGAATGAATACCTGACCCTCCTGGTCCACTAACACAAAGTTTAAAAACATCTCTTTTCGAATAGGGATCTGAAATTGAAAATTGGTCCTTTCTCCTCCTTTCTGCCTCCTTCAAAATTCCAAAAATTCTCTTATTCGATTTCATCTTTAATTTCTCCACAATTTCGTCTTTCTTTTTCCAATGATCATGCACATTAATTGAATTCACCACTTCTCGTCCATTCTTCACTTCCAATCGGAGATTAATAAATTGAAACAAAATAATCTTCCAATAATTTTCCAATAAATTTTGAAAATTTTCTCCAAATTGTTTAGAAATTAATTCCAAGTTACATAAATTTTTGATATTTTTCTCTGATCGGGCGAGGAGTGGATTTGCAATGATGAGAAATTCGAGAATGTGCCGTAAAAGTTCAGGAGGAAGATCAGTTAGGTGATGTTGTGGAGGCATTTTTTTTGTAAAGTTTCGTATTTTCAAGTTTCGAATGTAATCAAGATGTGTGAAAATAGATGAATTATTGTTAGTATGTCAATATTTGATAAATTAATCAAGTTTATGCAAAGATAACAAGACATTTGATGTTTTAGTAAAAGGAGCTTGAATCCGAGATATGTCAAAGTAGTACAACAAGTGAAAGACGTTTTTATCTATCTCTAATTATTACAAGCAACGTTTACTTCAACTAATACCTCCAAACTATTATATTCCCCAAATATTCAATGTAGTTCGTTTCGAATAACCCTTCGTATAATCTTTTGGATTAATAGAATTAAACAATAATACATCACCCCTTCAAATGTTTCATCAATTGGTTGATTGATGTCATACAGACAAAGAAACAAACTCAAATCCAATTGTGTGTCATTGCCAAATGTAAATATTACAATCATTTCGACATCTTTCGA